AGCCTTGCTTTTGCAGTTTGCAGCATTGCAGCCAGCTCACATCCAGGTATTGCTCATCCTGGCCACGTGGGCATCAACTGGTGAGGTTGAACAAGCATACTCGCGGGTGCGGCTCATCTCGCAAGGCATCAAGAGCAGCACGACGACGGAACACACCTACAACCAACTAAAGGTCGTCCTAGATGCACCCCCCGCTGACAAGCTCGTCATTGTCAGCCGCGACCAGGATGGCCGCGTGACCTACAAAGCAACTAGAGATGGCAACATGATTTTGCTGAAGTACCGCAGCTTGTACGGCGGCAACACCAATGTCAGAGTCAAGTCTTCCGATCTTCCACGTCGAATCCTGGGCGACAGAAAAAGGAAGACAGGGTACAAAGCCTTTACCCGAGAACGGGGGGAGGACCGGGCTGCGGCCAGGTCTGTGCTGATGAGCGGCGAATCTGCGGCCGAACTCGAGAAGTTAGGCCTGGCGTCAGCATTGTCACGAGAAACTGAAGAGCAGCGTCACCTTCTCCAAGTGTTACAAGAACAACACAGACAGAAGAAGAAGATCTTTCAGGATGCCGATCCTCGCAGCGTGCAGAAGAAACTTCGTGAACACGAGAAGACTCGCAGAGTCAAGGCGGAGAACATCAACAGTATGGAAAGGAGATCGCTCACTCAGGACGTGGACATTCTTCACGGCCAGACCTGTTGCATCTATGTCGGGAGTCGAAGTAGGAAGACTTCGGGAACCTTGGAAGCGCTCGGTCAAATCGCAAATGTAGAATGCGTGACATACGATGAGGCCATGGCTGGAATGGCCAAGCTTCTGAGCGCAGAGGTCAACGTGGTGTGGCTTTTTCCCACAGATGACAAGATGCAATCGTTTGTGGACCCCCTCGGCATCGGTGCTTCAATCTCTTCGGCAGCGGACGAGACCGTCAAGCTGCAGGCCATTGGCTCGGCATGTCGTCAAATTGCGCCGCGAATGATTGGCGGTTATGTCGCCGGAAATGCTTTTTTGCAAATGCAGTTGGCCCCAGCCAACCGATCGCAGATGCGGAAGCCGATTCTTGAGCTGGAGCCTGGTTTGTGGCAGAACCTGGAGCTGACCTTTCACGACACAAAGCTGTCCCCGAACATCGCCACTCTCATAACATCGATCTTATCAGAGTCCCTGACATCCCCCAGAGGCAGCCTGATCAAGTGGAGCGTGAAGAAAGAGGAAGACAAAGTGTGACTCGTCAGACTGTAAAGAGATTTCATCCCGCCAACACACATGAGGTTTGCATGCAATGCTTGCTGAGTCAAAAGCTTAAATTAAAAAACGATTGTGGACCAGGAAGAGAAAAAACGGCATCATCTTGCAAGATGCACTTGCCAACAAGATCAAGAAGAAAATCACGAAAAAGATGGGCCTGCCAACTGGCCTCGATGACTTCTTGACTACGATCAGCCGGCATAGGACTCAGGCAGTGTACTTCGCAGGGAGGCCTCGGAAAGTTTCTGCATGAATAATAACCAGTGTCTCCCAGGTGGAAATGAGTGCGACAAGGACAGCGATGAGGGCCAAGATGATTCAGTCAATTTCACATTTGGGGTTGGGAAGGCTCCTGCATGCCAACTAGCCGTGGGGAGGCTTGTCCATTTAACAGATAATGCACAAATCAAACTGTTTAAAGGTTGGCTTGCAGGAGACAAACTAAAACAACGCATTCGAAAGACAGGACTCGTGGGGCGAAGCCTGAAAATGAAGCACAGAATTTCTCAGAATTCGCGGCTCCAGTGTTCTTGCGAACGGACTCTGTTGATGCAGGTGGATTGTTTCAGTTGAAATGCACCAGCAGGCTTTTGTTCACAGTGTGGCGCCAGCTCTTTAGCTTCAGCCGCAGACATGGCAGCCCCTGTCTCCGGGACAAGTTCTGGCACGGAGAAGAAGTGCCGGAACCTCTGTAAAGAGTTTCCCCCTCAATGGAACCAGCGTCTCTCCGCGTTTTCCAGGCAAATACAAGGACATCGCGACCCTGGATGCTGAGGCATTGTGCCAGAAGCAGGCGATAGGGATCCGACACGAGAAGGGCTTGTCCGCATGCGAGCCTGCACCAGGTCACTCTGACCGACATGCAGAAGCTGTGGGATTCACTTTCAAGGCAGAGCGGCCAGAGTGATTCCATGCAAAGCTGTTAAGAATAGAATAATATGACATGCTTCAGGAGCATGCCGGTGACCAAGAAAGACAAGATGTCATATGTGCCACGGCCCCAGCCCGGACATGGGGGTTTGGTGCAGTGTTCTGAGACAGCATTCTGCAGGACTTTGGGGATGAAGTCCGACATGACAGTGTCAAATGAAACGGCAGTCATGCCGAACTTGACGAAGGCATGCAGAGCGTTTTGTGCGAGTTCAGAATCAGACTGAAGGAGAAGCTAGATTTCATTTCTTGCGTCTGGGTGAGGTTGTCTGCAAGTGGCTTTCCCAGAAGGCCCAGGACAGCCGCGGCTTGGTCAAAGACCCGGCCACCGGGAAAGAGATGCTGCTTGGTGCAGGTCAGTCAGAGTCAATGTCCATGGCCGATTAGGCTGTTGTAAGTCATTGTCATTCGCCGAGGACCAATATGAAGATCGCCTTCAACTCGGTGCAGATCCTCAAGCTCAGCGGCCCGCTAGCTGGGGTCGCGAACCTTCGTACATTGTCAAGCACTTCGGGCGTATTGGCTATCGCATCGGAACCAGTGTCAATCTGGTCGTGGGCTACGGCAGCGAGCTATGGCAAGCTTGGCGACGGAGGGGTCCGACACTCGATTCACGACCAGGCAGGTTGGCACCGTTCATGTTAAAGACTCCTTGGCATGCCTCAGCTTTGAAACGGTCCTGGATGCAGGTTGCTTTGTTCGACGGACGGCTGCCGCATTGCTTGTTGGACATCGGCAAGCAGAACAAGATGGGCTTCCTGATGGTGGCACGCACCGTTGAGTGTCAGGGGACTCCGGACGATGCCGGCAGAAAGGACACTCTCAAGAGCTTGGGCTTTAAACTATCGCCTGCTGCACTACCCACACTTCCAGGTGGCATGGCTGACAAAACCACTTTGATCAAGGTGGCCAAGAGGTTCCTCAGAGCCTCGCTCCAAAGAAGTCTGCACAGACTACCCTGTACAACATACTAGAAGTGATAGCAGCCATACCGTTGAATGCCAGGAACCGAGCTGGGCATGCTGGATGACAAGCCCAAGGGTACTGGATGGTGCAAGCACTGCTCGTGCGAGGCCTGCCGTGAGAAGCAGCAGAAGGTGAAGGAGAAGGAAGATGCGAAAAGGGCCAAAGAGGATGCCAAGAAACGGAAGGCAGTGTCAGGGGCCGCGAAGGCTGCCTCCAAGAGGCGAGCTGCGGCGCCGAGCTGATATCCTGACCCTTGCTGCCAGTGTCAATTTTGTATATACTTCGCAAGGCGACGTGCGTTCTGGGATGTCAGTCTTGTCGTGCAAACTTCGCGGGGCGAAGTTAACATCAAAGTTTCATCGTCAGCAGCCAGTTTCAAAAAGACCGTCAGCAAGCTTGGCAGCGTCATTGTGCAACATTCTTGAGAGCATGTGACAGCCGTTACATGTCTTTCTGCGCCTCTGGCGGCGAGGTTGGACCCGTCGTGCACAGTGCGGAAGCCCAGACCGTCAACGGAAAGTGTGCATGAGCTTGGAGGCCTAGTGCGTAGACTCGTTCTTTCTCGCTGTATCTAGGTATGCTGTGCAGGCTCCGAGTAGAAATTAAACTCCTCGCTCGGGCTGGGGGTGGGCAGGGCTAAAGAAATTGCCCTGTGACACTTAGTCAGAAGCCCAGCAGAACAAACTGCCACCCAGTAACCCTAGAGTGACAGATACTCTCAGAACCACTTGAAACGTCCAGGCTTGCCACACTGACTGTAAATAAACAGAACCACGAGACATTGCTAAATTAGAATTCAATAGTGCAGCTTGAGATCTGCCCCCGGGATGACTTCCTGGCCTCAGCACAGGTGCAAGCAGGTTGCCAGTGTCGCTGGTATCCTCAATTGAATCGCCGCAGTCTCAGCAACAAGTGTACGGATTTAAAAAAGACAAAGGGCCTGTCTACGACCATCCTGAGTAGCAGACACCTGCAGCAGATGATGATAAAAGAGCTTCAGTCATCGTCCTCGCGGTGTTTGATTGTTGTCGTCGCAGTAGCATCCGCAGCAACAATGCCCAAACCTTTCATGATTATGTTTGAGACGGTCTAGCAAGTTTTGGGCTCACAGTGTGTGGACCGGCTGTGTATCTTCAGCTGCAGAGATGGAGCCCGCAGTCGCCCGCGTTGTTTCTGGCGAGGAGAAGAAGCGCCCATGCCTCGGTAAGCAGTCTTTTCAATTCCAAGACAGCACCCACGACCCTCTTAGTTATTCAAGGCAAGTACAAGGACATCTCGACCGCAGAGTTGAACAATATCAGCAGCACGAAGGCTTGGGAGTATTAAGGGTCTGACAACAGGGCTTTTGTAAATGCGAACTTGGGACAGATCCAGCTCGCTGACATGCAGAAGCTCTGGGATGGACTCTCGAGGCACAGCAAAAAAGGCTCCATGCGAGTGTGGTTCTTGATTTTAATGCGGCCATGCTTGAGGAGCATGCCCGTTACCAAGAAAGGCAAGCTCTCTTACGTGCCACGGCCCCGGCCCGGACCTTGCCGCTTGGTGCAGTGTTCTGACAGCGTACTGAAGGACGTTGGGGATGAAGTCCGACATGACACTGTCAACTGAAACGAGAACCATGCCGAACTTGACACAGGCATGCCCAGTGGTGTTGAAGTTTGCAAGCTGATAAGAACCAAGACTTGGGTTCTTGTGGATCAGGTAATCTGCAAGTGGCTTGGCCAAAAGGCCGAAGGCGGCCATGCCTTGCTATTCCACGGCGCCACAGGTGCAGCACAGAGGCTTGGTGCAGGAATATGTATGTCCATCATTCGTAACACAATGCCGAGGTCCAGTGTCAAGATCGCATTCTACCATAATGCCAAGGTCCAGTGTCAAACTCGGCTTCAACAGCTTGCAGATCATGAAGCTGAGCGGACCGCTCAGTGGAGTGTCCAACCTTCGTACAGTGTCAAGCGATTCGGCGGTTGTCCTCATCGCATCGGAGCCAGTGTCAATCTGGTCGTGGGCTGCAGCTGCACTTGGTGACAAACCTCAGGGCGGGCTCCAGCACTCGCTCCACGACCAGGCCAGGAGCTCGCCGTTCCTGTTGACGGCATGAATTAAGATAGCTACAGACTGTATTGTTTCTCTGCAGGTCACTTTCATCGATGGGCGGCTCCCGCATTGCTTGTTGGACGTCGGCAGACAGAACAAGATGGGCTTCCTCATTGTCGCACGGACCGTTCCGGGGATTCTTCAGGATGCTGGTGCGAAGGACCTTCTCAAGAGCTTGGGCTTTAAACTATCGGCTTCTGCTGCACTACCCCATCTTCCAGCTGGCATGGCTGAAAAGAGGTCTTTGATCAAGGTGGCCAAGAGGTTCCTCAGAGCCTCGCTCCAAAGAAGTGTGCACAGACTACCCAAAGTGTTCTGTACAACATACTCGACTAGTAGAAGTGGTAGCAACGATACCGTTGAATGCCAGGAACCGAGCTGGACAAGGAAGACAAGCCCAAAGGTACTGGATGGTGCAAGCAGTGCTCGTGCGAGGCTTGCCGTGAGAAGCAGCAGAAGCTGAAGGAGAAGGAAGATGCGAAAAAGGCCAAAGAGGATGCCAAGAAACGGAAGGCAGTGTCAGGGGCCGCGAAGGCTGCCTCCAAGAGGCGAGCTGCGGCGCCGAGCTGATATCCTGACCCTTGCTGCCAGTGTCAATTTTGTATATACTTCGCAAGGCGAGGCGAAGTGCGTTCTTGGATCGTAAGCTCTCGGATCGTCAGCAGCCAGTGTCAAAAGTTGATCCGTGTGCATGGCAGCCACGTTGTCAGCACCTTGAATGCTGTAATACATTTTCGTGAATTGATTGACAGAGCTGGTTCCGCCCAGGTTGAGCATTACGGCGCCCTGGATGCGAAAGCAGGGGAGCCCAGGACATTTCGAAGGTGTCTGTGGCTTGGAAGATTCAGACCTTACCTTGGTTTAGGGTTTAGGGTTCAGGGTTCAGGGTTTAGGGTTTGGGTTGTAGGGTCTCAGTCAGTATCTCTCTCTCTCTCTGATTGTTTCTGTCTCTTTGTCAATCTCTCTCTCTCTCTCTCTCTGTGACGTCCTTCTTAGCAGATGTTGAGTCACGAGAAAGCACCGCCATCAATAAGCAGGGCTCTGTAATATGCTAGACGAGGGTTTCGGGCTGTCATTGACCTTGCAGGCTGAGGTGAAAGTCAGATTCAGCTGCTGCTGATAACAGTGTAGAGAGATTGTGATAGTATGTCGGAGATTGGGTAGAGCTTTAAGGGCTTCGCTGCACTAGTGTCAATATATGGGTCTAGAGGACTGAACTACAGACGACCTTTGTTCGATGCTCTGATCTACATCAACCGGTGCAAGCCGGCAATGCGTAACCCTTAACCCGCCCCTAAACCCTAAACCCTAAAATTCTAGTGGGGTGGTTCGTTCCGTAGTTGAGTTTCCGTGCTCCTGTCGGAACACGGAAACTCGATGAGCCTGTTGAGACCCGAAGCCCGAGAAGGTATCTTTCTGGGTCCTGACGGGCTCCCACGCCCACAGGCAGGGGTCAGAAAGGCCTTGAAGCCCGAAGCCGAAGCGCCCGAACAAGGTTTCCAGGCCCATGTAGAACACTGCCCCACTCCACGTCGTCCCTTATAACAGCATTCCTGCAACCTTAAAGGGTCGTGACCCTAAAGAAACACCGAAGCCAAGCTAACGCAGCCGCTTGCGTTGTGGAGCACCTGACGCAGCAACTCTCAGCAGACGAAGACAATCGGAGATGCCGCCATCCACGTCCAACCGCCCGGTTCAGGGCTGCCAGGCTGCATTGAAAGGGCGATTGAGACCGCCTCCGCCTTGGTTTCGTGGCACAAGGAGACGACGGCAAAATGTGCCGACCTGGTCTTGGCAGGTTCGTCTCTTCGACGAAAGGGCCTCTCGTGCCAGAAGACGGGTCTTTTCAGTTGATGTCAGCTGAGGACGATTCAGGATGAGAGCCACCCGACTCCCAACTCTGGAGCAAGCTCAGAGCAATACAGGGACGCCATTCCGGGCGATCGCGGACAAAGGAGCATGGCGGGGCATCTCCGTGCTGAGAGCAGGCAAGGCCCTAGACCCTAAGGGTTAAACTTAAAACCCTAAACACTGATCAGACTTGCTAGCTCTTCCCCATATAATTCGCTTCAAGGGTTTAGCATTGGAGGTTTAGGACATCCTTTAAATCATAGCTTAGCGGGTGCTTAGTCATGAAACCGTGCGATGGTTTCACGACCGCTACCCTAAACCCTAAACCTCGGCACCCTAAAAAAAAAAACACTATACCCTAACTCCTTAAAAATAAACCAAAAGCCAGACTCTCAACTTTCCAATCCGCAGAAATCCGACTTGCGACAATATCAACCTCAGCTCCGCTACGAGGAGCTGCAAGCTGGTCGGGGGGTTCAGGGTTTCCGGGGCTTAGGGTCGCCTATTCAGTATGTACCATGAAAGGTTTCGAATACTAACACAGGCTCCGGATACAAGTCTCAGGTTTGCGATCTAAAGGCTGACTCAGCTTCCTCTCCACAGACCGGGCATGTGTTTTTGCTCCTCGTCCGCTAGCAACATACACCCCCAAACGACAAATCCCTTCCAAGAAATCTCATCAACTCCAGGAGGCGGCTTCCGTGAGCTGGGCCGCATTTCTCGATTGGTGCGGCCGTGAAAAGCTCACATTTGTCCGATGATCCATGTCATAGACTCGTCAGCAGGCAGCACCAATCAAGAGTCACAGTCTCACAGACCTTGTCAACATGTGCAGTGTCATATTGCACAGCCAGGCTAAAACCTTAAAAAAAGTATGCGCTTTTGCCAGCCCCAGACACTGAATAGCCTAGTATATATAATATATAATTAATATGTATATATATATATATACATACATATACATACACATACATGTGTATATATATATATATATATACAGTTACTTACATACACAAACAAAAATATGTTCGTATGCGTACACACACACACATATATATATATACACGCACATATACAGACAGGATGTGTATATACTCTTACAGTGAAAGGAGAGCGGTTGGGTTCCGTAAGTTACAGAAGCTCCTGATTCCCGAAACTTGAACTCGGCACCTTCAGCCAGAAGCCGCAAGCCCTGCGCCCAAAAGCCGAAGCCCTAAACCCTTAACCTCATACCAAGTTTGCACCTCAACCGTAGTATGCCCCGAAACCTCGTCTGACTTGTCGAGCACGAGTGACAAAACCCTTCACCTCAGCCCTACTTGTTTTCGCTACAATTTTTTGGCTGCTAGTTCACCGAGGAAGGTGCCCTGGCGATCTTCGACGCAGCTGACCTTCAACTATTCCGGAAAGGGGTTGGGTTGAGCTTTCAGGGTTTCAGGGTGTATAGCCTCTAGAACCATGTCTGGGAGGGAGAGAGAGAGAGAGAGAGAGAGAGGTTCAGGGGTTCTGGTGGTGTTTCTGACGCTGAAGCTCCCAACGCAATGATTGCATAGGAGTACAATTGCTCGCATCGGTGGGTTGGTGCCATGCAATTCGTTTGTATTTCATGTCTCACATGTATATAACACTAATACATACAGGTATCCTATCGATATATCTGCTTATGGGAAGAATAGCTTCAACGACAAGAGAACTTGATCCTAAATCCTCATCTTCGAAACCCAGACGGAAAGTTAAGAGCTCTCAACCTCCTAAGCACCCCACCCCCCACCTACAAGCTACACACCCCTAACCCAAACCTGTACATCTTGACCCTGGAAAGTAGCAGGTCATGACCCCGATTTAGTGGATCGGTAAGGATGATCACAAGACGAGCCCACCCTGAACCACATATCCCCAAACCCCGAAAAACCCGAAACCCTAATACGAACATAAATGCCAATGCTGATACTTGTACTAGTACTCGCACCGGCCCTGGTACTAATGCTAATGAAGCGCCCCGAAACAAACGGCGAGGTCAGTTCGGATCCAAACCCTGGAGCATTTGCGGCCGTGATGAGTGGAGCGGGCGATGCTGGCGCCTGGGAAGCCGCCCTAGCGCTGCTTAGGCACGTGGGTTAGTAGCTTTATATGTGGGCTCCAGATGCTCCCACAGGGTTTCAGCAGGGTACTATGATTTAATTAATTAGGGGTCCAGAAGAGCTTGATTTAGCGAGTTGATCATTTCCCTTTTGAAACAACCAGCGACAAGAATCTGAAACCGTTTATGTTCGAAGGTTAGTACCTAACTCCTGTGTAGCCCTTCACTAATACAGAGGCCCTCAACAGAAGAGTGTTTAAGACAGAGGCCTGAATGATTGCACCTGGATGTACCCCAAGACCGTGTTCTAATCATGAATGCCTCTGTGCACTCGGGGTTTTTCCGGGTTCTAGTAGAACCCAGAAAGTTGGAACGTCAATCTCCTCGTGGCCTTCAGGTAAAGTATAGGGGATCCTGGCACGAATCCTCCTGAACCAATGTTCCAACTTTCTGGGACTCGCTGCAGATCGCTTTGGTCCTAGAATCCAAGGGTAAAAGGAGGGTCCCTCAATAAGGACCCCTAGGTATATACCCTTAAAACACCATTATATAGCCCATTATAGGGACCCAGGGGTCCCCATTAAGGGTCCCTCCTCTTCCCCTTTGATAGAATGTGCGGTGAAGTCGGCATTACATGGGCTCGGGGCCGCTGTCGATTGTTTAATAGTAGAGAACCTGCCCCTGATGTTTCCCAAAATTACATGTACAGATAATGCAAGACATACACATTCCGTCTAAAATCGTACAGCACAAGAAGGCCTTGGGACTTTGTAGGCTTATGGGTATTTCAATTGGGTTTTTTCAGGCAGATGTAGCTATGGTTACCCTACTTAAAAGCCCTACTTACGCTTCATAGCTTGATCTTTCCAGTAGGGTTTAGGTCCCGGGATGTAGCTAGTCACTAGTCGGTCAGTTGTACAGTCCCGTCCCGTGTCGATCTGTCCGTTTATTATGACTTGTGTAGCACAGGGCTACCCAGCTTTAACTGAGCCTGGGCTCGTCAAGGCTCATGTAACTTTCGTAGAGAGGGCTTTGAAAAACCCGCCATGGATTAAGGGTTCCCTGTGCCCCAAATCCTATCAGAGAGAGCAGGCGGTGTTTCTAGCGGCTTAAATATTACCTAAACTATGTTGGGGGGCTCCCTATTACAACTACGTTAGAATATACACCAAAGCCTTATTCTAATTATTAAAGCCCCTACATG